AATAGTTAAAAATCTGTTAAGTACCACATGTATTATGCAAAATATGAGTGCATTGAGTTTAGACAAGTGAATAAATACATGCAATTCATGTCCAAATTAAAGCAAATTCATAACATCTTAACAATAAGTTCATAAACATAAACTGTAACCCACAAACGAGTTAATAACCAAATTCTCACAACATTAGCTTCACATTCTGCCCTTGGTTTCTCAAAGGTTCAATTAGAAACACCACATATACATAATTTAGCAGTAGCATACGTAGGTAAACCAGTAGGTTATACGCCTATTGGAAAATATAAGTAGTTTCCTTCATTTTGCTGGGTTGGTTTAAATTATTGAGAATGTGTGAGTTGTAATTTAGCTAGAAATACCTGCTAGGTTATATGTTCAGGGTGGACTAAGAGTTGAGAAGGGGAAGCATTTACCCACCATTTATGAGTCATAGGTGAAGTGGCGACGGGGTATGACAAGATAGAGACAGAAACTAACATGGTGTGGCGCCAGCGAGTGGCGACAGGCGACAACGAGTGCGACGGGTGCTGCCGCGTTGGAGCTATCGAGTGCGGCGGGCTAGAGCTTCGCTGGAAGGTGGCGACGACGGTTGCGGACTTGCAGCGGCGGCGAATACTTCACTGGAAGACCGGCTGCGCGGCGGCGCAGAGTGTGCTGGAGTGCTGGAGATGGAGGATTAGGGATTGCGGAAGAGTGGTTTGGCAACCTCAGCCTAATATCCACCCCTTTCACCCCTTTTTTTTGTCCGAAGTGATCAAAATGGCGTCGTTTTTGTTTGGCGGAGAAAATTTTCTCCTTTGCTTGGAATCGGATAAAAACGGTATGAAAGCGCGCTTTTATCCGATTTTAACGATTCTACTAACGCTTTTGACTGATTTTGAGTAAAATACGATTTTATTAGTGATTTGAAGCGTTTTCCTACCCTAGAAACGTAAAACCGTACGATTTTACGCTTTAAAGCGCGATTTTGACTACACTGCGCATACGGGCACTGGCGATGTCGCCGGCGCTGGCGCCACGAGATGGGTGAGGTCTTATTTTGGTTTTGATTCTCGATTTGGGCAAGTTTTGGGGCTCTGAACCCTTTTCTTTTGTTTCATTTTCAGTTTAGGTTTCGATCGATGGAAGGGAGAAAAGCAACGGGGACGAAAGGAAACAGAGGGTCGCCGCCGGCAGCTGTGTTTCACCGGCGTCGTCGAAAATGACAAGAGGTGGACTTTTATTTTGGTAAGTTTTTGAGATTAAGAAGCGTTTGTAGGTTTGGTGATGGGTTTGAGCCTGGGAATCATGTGTGTTGATGATGGAGTATAGTTTGGTTTTGTGTATGGTTTTGGAGCTGGAATTTGCTTAGATAGAACAACACAAAAGAAAACTTAACAAAAAGGCCGACAGCACAAGAAACAAGCAAAATATGGTGCTCGTTGGTAATAAAAACACTTAGATAGCATGAATGATGATGAAGCTAAGTGGAGAAACGATTGATCCGACTTTCCTTCCCAAATCATTGAAATGGATCGATTGAGTTTTATTGTGCTACCTTTGTCTCTTGAAGTTTGATGAAGGGTATAGTTGCTTGTCTACTCCTTGCTCTGCCTGTTGATTCTTTTTCGTTTTTTAGCTTTCGTTGTTGTTGTCGTCGTTGGATCAATAATAAAGATGGAAGTGGAATGAGAATTTTCAGAATCTTTCTCTTTTTTTCCTCTTTTGATGGGTTGTCTGTATGCGTGTTTGCTGCTCAAAAGAAGAGTGGAGGTGTTACTTCTGTTTTTCTGGTTTTTGTTTGTTTGTTTGTGCGTTTAGGAGGGGAAAGGAAAGTGGAGGAAGAAAGAAAGAAGAAGGCTGGGGAAGAAGGAGAAGATGAAAATCCCAGCCAGCCGTCCCCCTTTTGCAAGAGCCGAAGGGGTCTTTTAAAGGGAAAAAGGCAGCTTGGTCCCCAAGCATGCTACAGGACCGGTTCGAGTCTGACCGGTTTTGGTAATCGATTGGACAGGGTCAATGGGTCAGTTTGGTCGGCTTTGACTATAATTGACTTTTCTTGACCGGGATTTGGGAGTTGACTGGTGGGTTTTGACCTGAGGTTGACTTGGGCTTTGTCCTAGACACAGGACACTATTTATTTAGGGAGTTGATATTTGACGCCCTAGATTTTTAAATTTGTCGCCCTAAACTTGCCAAATAGACAATTTTGCCCCAAATTAAACTAAATTCTAAAAAATAAAACCCACCCGCACAAGTCAATTCCCCGCCCTTCCCCTCTCTTCGCCCTCTTCTCATATACACAGACAGCCGCCGGCAACCCCAAAAACGATCGGCGACCCTTGCAACCCAGAAATGACCCAGTCCCGTTCAAGCTTCACCGCCCTCTGTTTGAACAGTTGCCAGCCTACCACCGATCCTGGAAGGAATAAGAAGATGGGTCGTTGCTCCTCGTCGCCGTCGAGGAAGAAGTTCCCTCCAAGCTCGTCGTCGTCCCTCCTAGAGGCCGCATCGTCGCCATCGAGACAGAAGGTAACCACAGCTTGGCATCTTCGTCCCTACCAGCTCGTTGTCACATGGCCGTACAACCAAGCTCTGCCATCGCTCGTAGTCGCCGTTGGAGGAGGCCGCCGTAGATTGACGTAATTGTTTTATTTCGTTGACGGAAATGACACGAGTTGAAAATCAACCCGTCCGCTGCCGCTGAAAGCAAGTTTTACGTTTGTTGTCGGGGGAACGGGAATAGAATCCGTCTCGCCGCTGGAGTAGGCGGGTAGAGCATCCGTCCTTGCGTCGTCGATCCGATGGGTTTGTTGTGATTTTTAATGGACATTTTCATTTAGAATTTAAAATCAAATTTGTTCAGGGGAGAAATGGCGGAGGTGATGGATGGGAGAAACTGAGAAAGAACGGCAGGGGAAGGGAAAGAAGGGGTAGAGATGCCGGCGGGTTGAGGGCTATTTTTGGTCAGGGCAAAATCGTCCTTTTCATTGCCGTTTAGGGTGATATATTTAAAAACTTAGGGCGTTAAATAGAAATTCAGGCATAATCTGTAACCACTATTGTGATTAATTGTAACTAATTTGTAATTATTAGTTGATGGCAATCTATTTTCTTTATGGTTCTCGTCATCTAGATTTCAGTTCATGTAAATATATGGAGATCAAATCTATTGAATTGATCAACCCTACAAAACTTTTGAATAAATTGTGACAACTAAAGTTAGCTATAGCCATGCATATAGTCGTACATTTCCTTTGAAGTCCAAATTTAGATGATTATAACGTTCCAATCCAATCTGCTTTAATCAAAGCAAACCACCAAAGTTCAACTTCAAACCATTTTGTGCTTAAGTATATTTTGATTGAAATGATTTGCTATTGCTAGCCCAAAGACAAATCGAGCTCTCAACTCTTTTTATTTTGTCGTAATAATTAGTAAATCGCCCGGACAAAATGTGGTGTCTACAGTTACCACTCTTTGCAAGGCGATGACACCACAAAGAAAAAGAAGAACAATTAAAACCAATCTTTCAGAAGTTTCTATCCAACTGGGATATGATAATCAACTACGAAGAAAAACACACGACCATTGGTTTTTACCCCGTCAGTCGAGGAGGACCCAAAGCAGTAATCACAGAAGAAGCATCACTAGAACTCTCTTTTGATTTCCATCAATATGGATTAACCGACACTATCTACACTACAAACATGAAAGTATTTGAATACTTCCCACAAAGAATGAGGAACGTAATCAGAAGATATCTTGAGCTATTCGCCAATGAACGAGAAATATTTCTCAAGTATATATGCAGCTACCCTATATTTGATCAAGACCAACTATTGGTTGGATCAAAGGCAGTTATCTTTATGGGAGTATCAAACCATGATTATCCTACCAGAGATGACCTACGAGACTATGAGAAGAACCCAGACTATCAAGTAAAGGGTCTTCTTGCAGTATGCAGAGCATTAACCAAGATTGAACCGGAAAGTCATATCAAAGTCAATTACAGCAGCCCGATGCCATCATCACCAGCAAAACTAGAGGAAATATGACCAAAGAAGATGGACAATCATAACAGATAAAATTAAAGAATTCACTGAAATTAATGGAAATCTGTTAGCTCTTCCCATCCAAATCAAGAAACAGCTCTGCAATGCACTTGCTATCTACGAGGACCACTTCTGTGAGTGGTGTGAATCAAATGACGAAGACATCAATGAACCAGCATACCAAGACTGAAAGAAGCATGTGAAGAAAGAGGAATAAGAATGAGATAAAACGACAATGAAAGGTTGGCCGACTCCTTTACAAAAGTCATGCATTATTGTATTTCTTATCGTTTCACGCGTTTTTCTTTTGACGTGTTAGCTTTACGTCCTTGTCGCACAAACGTAAGCAATGACGTCCTTGTATCTCCTCTCAGCTCAATATAAGAGCAAGAGTTCGCAATGAAATAAGGCAGAACGAGTTTGGCCATAAAAATTGCATGTTTACTCTCTCCCTCTAGCTTGCTAGTTGTAAGGCTTGGATCCACTGATCACCTAAAGTGCCACCAGCACCTAAAGATTTTATATTATAAAATTGAAAAGTTCTTTTAGTAGAGCTCAATATCTCGTGAGAAATAAGAAAAAAAGACAAGAGATATGTGCAAACGAAAAGTGTGGATAAAAGTTGTTTTCTAGGGCTCTGATACCAAACATAATCACCTTATTAAAATTTACTGATTTAGTAATCTTTATTTTATTTTATTTAGGCTGGTTATTATATCAGTAATTAATTCGGTTTTAGAGATAGCTTCTTCTAATGTTTATGTGGTTCCAATACTCATTTGCTACTCTACAATTTCTGAGGCAAAGTAAGTTAGTTCATGTGTGACTGCACTGATATCATTTATTGAGGTGAGATTTATAACATCTATTCTTTCAATTAATTTGTTTATATGATAAGCAGTAGGCATATTTATTTTATAGATACTAGTATATATATGTATATATTTATAGTTCTTAGATTTTATTTTCTAGATTTGATATTGAATGTTGCAATTTCTCCAACTTATTTATTACTTGATTATTGGTTATCTCTTCTCGTTCTAGATCTTGTTCAATTACTGGGATATGCCTAATCCTCTCTGATTGTGTTCTAATCATCCGTCTTTGGTCTTGGGTTATCGATGGTCGGCTAGGTTTTATTTTAACGGTCTTTAGTGGTGCTTCTAATTGGATTAAAAGTTTAAATAAATCTTCTATAGTGATTAATTCTTTATTTTTTAAGGTTAAACTATGGTGACTATCTGTTAACGTATAGTTTATTTGATAAGTTACTGAAAATGGTTTGCTATTTTCTTTCATAAAATTTTCTCTTTTTAATTCATATTTTATAATGATAGAAGAGTCAAGGTTACCATCTGTCAGGTTCAATCCTTGTTGTAGGTTAATATCAAATTTAATTATTCCTACTCCTAAATTTCCCGTTCCTTTGGCAATAATACTTTCTTCTTCGTTAATGAGTCTATCATCACGAATTTCTAATACCATGGGTGCGTCAATTCCTATTTTCATGTTTGATTTTAATATAATTTGAATTGTACTAATATGAATATAAGCTATTTTATTTCGTTCTTCTGATCTTAGTTTAGCTAATCTTTTTCTAATTTGTTCTTTATTTATTACTTGGATTAGAAAATCGCCCTTAGTTTGATCAATAGGGACTGCTACTTCACCTATCATTTTACCGTATTTAATAATATTTTCTCTATCAAAGAGTTTTGATAAAAAAGACTTGGTGATAAAGTTTTGAGTTTCTGAAATAGTAAATTTAGTTTTTTATCTAATTTTCTTAATGTCTATAACACCATCTAAGAAGTAGTTTTCATCATCGTTTTTGTTTAAGTAGTCAAAATAACTTGAGGTAGGATTATTGGACATACCTTACTTGTTTTCCTGAGGAAACCCTGAATTTTTTTATGATCGCTTGATGATTGTAGTTGCTCTCCGTACGTTTGATTATATTGAAGGTGGTTGTGGCCTCCAGGATCAGTGATGTCTCTCGGTGGAGCAGCATCAGGGCAGCAACATATCTCCAATTTATGATCCTCACTCTCCACACCTCGTCGCTGGCAACATGAAAGCTCAAATGGGGGCAAACTGACAAAACTTTATTGATCAGAGCAATGAATGTTAAATACAATGAATTCAGCCTTTAACATCTGCTGCAAATCATCCCACTAACCCCAATTCTTTGATCTCAGCCCCATGACTTAACTAACAGCACTACTAATAAGCTGTTCTTCCTAACAACCTGCAACTAACCCTTAAATTTGGATTGGGCTTAACTGACTCTAAATGAAACTCAAAGACCAAACTGAAATAATGACTCAAGACCTATCTGCTAGACACTAAGCCAAACGATAGTGTTTTGGCTCTCTTATTCAAATAGAAAGTTCCCGCTACTTGACTCTAATCCTTCTCCATCTCGGATTCGGATTCCAGCTCTTCTCCAGCTTGCACTTCAGCTCGCAAAACAATGACAGATCGCCTCTCCAATCATCTCCTCCAACACTTGCATGTCTCTCTCCTTGGGGAATGGATCAGGTCAATAACTCTATGGCCAATAATCATGAGTAACCTGTCCACATCAGCATGACATCAATACCCTCTCTCTACTGGAAAGTCTTTTTATCTATTCCCCTTTAATCTTTAAAGGACAATTTCTCTTTCGTTTTAAGTCGAAATTTAATTGTTTTTGAACAGATAAATAAGATTAAATGTGCTTTTTAAAATGATATCCACTTTGATATATTTTTAGTACAAAAAAATTTGAATAATTTTTTACCAGTCATTACCATATGGTATGCTCCTATTTAATATCATATGGTAAGAAAGTGTACCATGATGGTATGAACATACCAATATGGTAAGAAGGTTGAATACACGATAGTAGGAGTATACTAACTGTCATTTACGATTTTCATAGTTGTTTACTACAAGTTACCATCCACATACCATAGTGGTAAAATATGGTAATTTTTGATCCAATATTTTTTCACCCAGAAATTTATAGATCCAATAGGTCATGATGAACTCGTTCCTTATGAGCAAACGTTTTAAAAAACGACTTAAAAACGAAGAAGTTACCATATGGTATGTAGTTGGTAAAAAAAAAATCTCGAAATATATTGAAAATTGATCTCATTTTGTAAAGTAAAACGAACTCGTTCCGTCTGTGCAAAAAAATTGAAATCCAAGTTAGAACGAAGAAGATAGGAGCCGATTAAGAAAACTGGGGAAAATAAAATGTCTTTAATTGACAATCCTTATATCTGAATTTTTTGGACCTACCTAGATCTAAAGGTCAAGATTTAGTTACTCTATGTTAGGAGCCGATTAAGAAAATTGGGAAAATAAAATGCCTTTAATTGACAATCCCACCCAAACGAATCCACTCGCGGTTAGATTGGGAAATAAGAAAACCATAGGAAAAGTATGTCCTAATTAAAAGGCAACCAGCTTTGGGCTGAGACATAAGAGATAGGCTGATTCCCTAGGTGTTAAGTGAGAAATATCGTCTACGTTGGCAAAAGAATTGGGATGTTACATGTGTGTGTTTTGCTCTTTGATGCTTATTTGTGCCATTGATTAATTGCACTCATTTGGTTGGTATTTAACACAATATGAAGCAATCTGACCAACTTTTATGGAATGTAAAGCAATGAAGGTTGATGCCAGCCACAACTCCCACAAACTAATGAGCTAAAACCTCAACAAAACTAAACCCTCCACACAGAACTCAAATGCAAACAGATTTAAAAATGACTCGAAGAGACACTCTTCAAACTATTTGAACCAGGTTTTGGCCCCAATCAATCTTCCTGCGGCAAGGACAGACAATTCACAATTTGAACCAGCTTTGGGCGACTTGACCCCAAGCCCAAACTTTCTGCGTCAAGGATTTCTTCTCCAACATTTGGGACCTTAAATCCTGGCATAATCCAACTGATACCATGTGATCATGCTTCACACACTACACGTACAACAAATATATGGCACAAGTGATCAGTCAAATTAAGAATGTAACCCACAGACAGATCACATATATAATTAATACAAGCTAATGGCAGCAATACAGTTTTAACTTACAAGAGACATATAACAATCCATATACGTTCACGAACGAATGAATGAATCTCACACAAACAGCAATTAATATGTGTTATGCTTATGTATGATAGATACATACCTCTTCATAACGCATCAGCAGCCACTCCCTACGGGTTAGACCAATGCCTGGAAGCACAGGTTCCGGCGAGGAAGTAGAATCTGCAAACAAACAATCACTAGATGGATAAGAATGGAGTCAAGAAACTCAGACGGATCGACCTCCCTACCAAGCTACAACTTTGAAGCAGTAGACATATATTATGATTAGTTACGATGGATATATTGCAGCAGCAGAAGAAGAAGAGGAAGAATGGGTTATTTAATTAAACTAGACAAATAAATAAAACAAACCAACCAACCTCGAGAAACGCCGGCCGCCCTCTCCCTGGCGTCGGCGAGTTTCTCTATTATTAGGGTTTTAAGTTCTTCGGGGAAAAAATACCCATTCTGTAGCGCGTTAAAGAACAATATGTAGCCGATGCAGCAACGCATTAGGCTCTGTTGAAACTCGGAGGGATCGGTGAATCTCAAAACCTGGAGCGTGGGATCGCACAACCGCGAGCGTGCATACACGAAGGAAACCCCTAAGCGGCCGTGAAAGTCAGAGCAAGTACCTCCTTTCGTTTATTTTTTCCTTGCTTGATTTTATAGATGTTCGATCTTCTTCGTCCTGGATGGAAAAGGATAGGGCAAAGAAACTCATGCGGCCCCTGCCTGTTGACCGGCCAATTCTTTTTCAGCCTGTTTCATGACCCCAATAAGAATCTGCCACATCAGTTCCTCTTCTTTTCTCCGGGAAAAATCATTAATTTTCTTTCCCTTAATCTTTAAGTCTTTAACGGACGATTTCTCACTCGTTTTAACTCAGAATTTAATTTTTTTTTGTGCTCTTCAAAATGATATATACTTTGATATTTTTTGGAACAAAAAAATTTTGCCAGTTATTACCATTCTATATCATATGGTATAGTCAATACCATATGGTATTGACTGGTATTAAATAACAGCATACCATATGGTATGAAAAATACCAGTCAATACCATATGCTAGGGGTGGCTATTGGGACCGGGACCGGATTAAAAACCGGAAACCGGACCGTATAACCCGAACCGAGACCGGACCGGGACCGGATAGTAAACAATCCAATCCAATCTTTGGGCTTAGATTTGAGGTAAAAAACCGGATAAAGACCGGATAAGAGAGCTCAACACCCAAAACTTAAGGGTAATTTGCATAAACGGTCACAAACCTTTGCACTTAGTACAAAACTTAACCAACTGCTCACCCTTTAAGGCTTTAGGCCACTCAAATCCCACAATCTCAATGTAAAATCAAGACCGAATCGGGACCGGACCGGATCAAAACCGGACCGGATCAAGACCGGACTGTATCCAATCCAATTTTCGGTCCTTATATTTTCAAAAAGACCGGACTGGACCGGATCAATTTGGGCCAATTTAACCGGACCGGACCGTATAGCCACCCCTACCATATGCTGTTATTTAATACCATGGTATTAAATAACAGCATACCATATGATATGAAAAATACCACCTCATACCAGGGTGGTATAGTATGGTATGGAGTTGGTAACGAGAGGTTTGAAATTTTTTCCCCTAGAAAATTTTGAAATCCAATAGATCATGATTAAATCATTCATTTTGTGCAAAAATTTCCGAAAATGACTAAACAACGAAGGAGATACCATATGGTATGGAGTTGGCAACGAGAGGGATGGAAAAAAAATTTCTCAAAAAATATTGAAAATGGATATAATTTTGTAGAGCACAACGAACTCGTTCCATCTGTGCAATTGAAATCCGAGTTAGAATGAAGAAGATATGATCCAATTGAGAAAACTAGGGAAAAATAAATTCATTTAATTCTCCACCCTTAGATCTGCAGTCACTTAAAAGAAGGGTCCAGATTTGGTTACTCATTGTTACTCACCCTATCTTGAGCCGTTTGGAACCAATTCAATAAGGAAAAGAATTCCATTTCTTGTGAGAATCTAAACTTTTAGAATTAATTTATGCTTTCGTGTTTCGGTATGAAATCACGATTTAAACACAAAATATCTTATTATTGATTTCTCTCGACAACTTCTAATATGATTTTATAATCCTAAATATCATAGTTGCTTATAAAAAAAATATCATAGTTAGTAAAATATGATATGGTAAGTTATGTATAAAATACGTACTGACATTTTACATCATTTATAAACCAATGATATGTTTAATAGTACGTCAATAGTATGTCAATAGTTATAAAATATAAAAAATTAATTATTTTAAATATAAATTAATATATAAATAATAGTTAAGGTATAAATTTTATTCATTTAATACGGATATTAAATATGTTATACGGGTTTTATACGTGTTTAGTACGGGAGGCATAAAATTAAAGGGAAAAAATGAAACGACTTGACAATAATATAGATACGAAAATTTTGAACGAATAAAATATGTACGAGTATATATACGTGTATTAAATGTAATATTTAATACCGCAGAAGTTTCTTGCAAAATAAATTCCAAACATGCAATTTATGCTTTAACAAAACAACAAACATGTAAAAAAAATACACAATATAATACAAATTATCTAACAGGAAATCTAGAATACATAGCTAACAAACCAAAATAAGAAAATAAGAACATATCATATAAAGGGAAAACCAAGGTTGTCAACTCGCGGGTTGATCCGGACCCGGTCGACCTAGTGGGTTAAGGGTTAATGGGTCACCCATTTTAGCCTGGAAATATGGAAAGAGTCATTATATTGTACTTATCCTGATAAATTAGATCAAATCTCATCTAACATATGAGTTATAACATATATTATTCCACCAAAATAACATGTCGTACTTAGATCCAATATATAGTAAAAATTCACACACACTTATATAACATATATATATTCAAATGTTCAACTTAAGATTCCAAAAATTGAGTAGGCGAAAAGAAAAATATGAAAATAGGCATATTTCGCAAACGAAAGAGAAAAATGACACAATTTGACCTCCAACCCGATACTTTGTAGCGGTCGACCCGACGGGTGCATGCGGCTCGTTTTTCTCACGGGGTCAGGGTCAAAGTGGGTCGACAACCTTGGGCAAAACAAAAGGTTGCACAAGAAACATAGAACCTAGAGCCGTTTTAGGATAATAAAAGGTTAAAAGGAAGTGGGTCCCACTATTTCCAAAGAATTGGAGGAAGTCCCACCATATTTGATCGGAATTTTGACTCCGGAGTTTCGGGGGTCAAGAATTCCATTTCCAACATAACCTTTTTTTTTTTTGCCAAAGGTATCCTGAAAGGGAAACAGCAAGATACGAGTATATATACAGAACCTTTGCAGGCAAATCACAAAACAGAAATAAGGAAGGAACGTTGGTCGACCCACATACGATCCAACGATAAGAGGGCCTGTTTTGCCACGATATGGGCAGCCCTGTTATACCTACGCGGCGCGAAGTGAAACGAGGCACTCTGTAGAGATGAACGAATCACCTGCACTTCTGAAAAGAGAGTGCCACCCAGAACGTGCGACGTGTCCTTCGCATTGATCATCCGGATCACCACCTGTGCATCGCCACAGAACAGAATATTAGTAACTGAATGAGCTAGACACCATCGAAGGGAATCCCTCAAAGCCAAAAGCTCTACGATAAAGGGGTCAAAAATATGATCATAGAACTTCCCAAAGGCAAATTCAATAGACCGATTAGTTGAGAAGCCAACAAAACAACCCCTCCCCCTACAGAGGTCTTCGTCCCTCCATCAAAATGAACAAGCATAGAGCCATTCGGAATTAGGGGCGGTCCTTGATTACGGAGAGTCCGAGGTACCGAAGAGCTAGCTTGAGATTGGGAAGACGCCTCTTGTGATGTTGTCCATTCAGCAGCTTGAGCTTCCAGTCGTCGCAGCATGGTAGAGGGAAGGAACTGCGTGTGATCATAGGTTGTAGAACATCGCGCCTTCCAAATCCTCCAAAATAGGAAGACAAGTCTAGTGATTGTGGATTTGGGAACACCTGCATGGAAGAAAAACCAACGCCATCCTACAACTATATGTAAGTCTATAATCTGAACTCGTAGATGGTTTAGACCTGCCAAAATCCATAAATCCACTGCGACACGACAATTCAAGAAGGTATGAGAAAAATTTTCTGGTCCATATCCACAAATGGGTCAAGAATAAACCTCCTCATCTTCATCATCAATAATCTCTTTGTCACGCAATACATCTCTCAAAGGAAGAAATCCTTTGATTAAATGCCACATGAAAAATCTAAGTTTAGGAGGGACTGATAAAGACCAGAGAAATTTCCAGGCAGCAGAATCAAACAGGACTGGAATAGTGGACATATCTCTAATGAACTCTTCGGATGCTAACCTGTAACCTGATTTTACAGTATTTCACCTGAGGCTTCATAATGCCAAATGAGTCTGTCCGCTATTGGAAATATGGGGAGTGGAATACTCCTGATGAGTGTAATCATCTTTGCATCAAAGAGTGAGAGGAGGAGTTCTACCTTCCAAGAGCCAGTTTCATGATTTATGAGGCAAGCAACATGAGGAGCAATGGGTGAAGAATTCGGCAACAACTTTGGGAAAGAAGGTGGAGATGTTGGCAGCCAGTTATCACCTGTAATACAAACTGAATTACCTGATCCAATCAACCACCGAAGTCCTCGGATCAAGAGACTTCGTCCTTCTCGAATGCCTTGCCAAGCCCATGAGGGACGATTTCCTTGAGGTGCATGGAGGAAAGACGAGTGTGGAAAGTATCGGCCTTTGTAGGTGGTAGCGAGCAGTCCGTCTGGATTTTGGAGAATTCTCTAGGCTTTTTTACTAGAAGAGAAATGTTGTTTCTATCTAGATCACGGAACCCGAGACCTCCAACTATCTTTGGCCGACAGAGTGCTCTCCAAGATGTCCACTTCATCCCATTCTCACGATCTTGTTGGGACCACCAGAAGCGAGCTAAATGTCCATTGAGACGTCTGCAAAAAGTGGAAGGAAAGCGGAAACTTGACATGACATAAATTGGTGAGGCAAAAGCAACTGACTTGAGAACGGTTTCCTTGGCTGCCAAAGACATATATTGTGACTTCCATCGTTGCAGTCGTTGTAGCAAATTATCCTTTATATACCGGAAGGTATCCTGCTTAGATCTTGATACCCGCACAGGTAAACCAAGATACTTGTCATCCTCCCCACTTGCTGTCACGCCCAGGATAGCCATGAACTTTGCAGCTTCCGACTCCGTGACATTGGCACTAAAGGTAGCTGTGGATTTCAGGAGATTGACCTTCTGACCACTGACTTGTTTATAGGTTGTAAGGAGAGTAAGCAGGTTGTAACATTCCTGAACTGATGCTCTGAGAAACAAAAAGGAATCATCTGCAAAGAAAAGATGAGAAAGCACAAGACAACGATGATGAACCTTTATACCATGAAGGAATTCAGAATTGATAGCCTGATTAATCAAAGCAGAAAAACCTTCAGTATATAGAGCAAAAAGACGAGGGGATAAGGGATCTCCCTGTCTTAGTCCACGTTGCGGTCGGAAATAGCCATGTGGGGAGCCATTGATCAATACAGAGAAAGACACAGTAGATATACATTCCCAAATCCATTTCAACCATTGATCACCAAAGCCGAGCTTCTTCATAATCGCAAACAAAAATGCCCATTCAACTCTGT